CCTACTGCCCATTGCTAGGTCACGTGACCATCATTAATCATCTCTGGTAGGGGACACATACTTCATTACTGGCTTATGGCAACCCTGACAGCGTGTTAGATCATTTGATGAACTTAACAACAAAACCATATTGACACCCAGTTTCTGTACCATAATGTGGAATCTCAACCTCAGGATTTCAGGCATCATAATTTTAAGAGAAATTCCTAAAATTGAGTTCTGTTAGTAAAGAGGTACAAGGAACAATGTCTGGCCCATCTGCTGTCACCAAGGGCAACGGTGGCCCACAAGAGAGATGAAGCCAAGAGGACATCAGAGGCAGAGCTGGAGCCCATAGCCCAAGACTGGCGTCCTTCTCCTTCCAGACTTCTGAAGTGTGAGATGATGAATTTCCTCATCATTTAACTTTTTTCTAAAATTTAGATTTTGCTGTTATTTCAACATCATCTCAACAGATAAGGGACTTTATCGGGATAAGGGTCAGATGAGGATCATTGCTGGGAGCCAACAGGACTCCAGGGTAGGGTGAGCAGAGGAGAGATGGCCATGGTTGGGGAGAGGTCTTGTGGTAGCTCTGGAGACAGGCTCCTGACATCCAAAACAAATGCATGGGAAGGAAGCCTGCTGCAATGGCGGTAGTGGGGGAAGAATAAGAGCCCCTTTGGTCAGGTTCTGTGCCCAGGGGCCTGTGGTTTGGGGTACATGACTCACCTACACACCTCTCCATCAGTCAGCTCTTCAGCTGGTCAACTGTACAAGTAGCAAAGTCTCCATTCTCTGTCAGTACTGCATTAAAAAAGCTAGTTTTTCTTGGCTATTTATCCATGTGTTTGTTGTCTTTCTCTGCCCATGTGGGAGATATATTTTTCTGCACAACAAATAATGATCACTTCTCCCCATTCCTAGCACCTTTTCAGCCCTGTGGGCCATGTTCTGGTCAGTGGGGTGCAAGTGGAAGTAAGTGACATGATTGTACCCCTCCAGGTCTTCCTTTTCCTGCTTGAGTAAACCCCTTAACCTTCTACGGAGATGGTGGATCTTCTGGTTGATTTTGCGAAGCAGAGTCCCACCAACCTCCTGCTGGGTAAACACATTTTGAGGTGAGCTTGTTGTGGGAATATAACATAGCCTATCCTGACTAAACACTCCAATCACTATAAGATCCTCAAAAGTACAGCACTTGTTTGTTTCTTTCACAACCTTCCCCAGCAGTTCACCCAATAAATGTTTGCTGAGTGTACAAACAATGGATGACATACTCCTTTCCATTTTATAGTAATGGCAAAAGATAAAAGGTACTAGCAAAATGTAAAAAAGATGGAAAGCCTCCTATGGATTGAAACTTTGTGTTTTAATTTGTAAGTTGGAAGAAATGATGATTACAAAATCAAAATGTTTGTGTGAATCTAAACACCAGAGGCAAGTGGACAATGGAACTAAAGAATTATTTGAGAAGGCTGTGGCACCTCCGCTGTGAGTTGGGATGTCACAGGTGTTCCACTCGCTATGTTGCTGAGGACTGTGGTGGGAAACCAGCAATGTCACCTGTGCTCCCTGGTAGCATATGAGTTGGGGCTATTCTTGGGCATTTATGCTTTGGAGAATAGTTACTGTTTAGAAGGCTTGATTCATTTTTTTAAAGCCTATTCCTTAATCCATGTAATGGAAAGAACAATCAAGTAGATTGAATCAGGGTGTTCGGGCTAGGCCAAGTTTTTTCCCCCAGTTGCTTTCATTTCAGTTGTATCCTGGCAATGGGACAGGTTAAGAAAAGGTTAGGTTTTGGACTTCATGAACAAAAGTTTATATTGTATTGTAGTAATAAACAGGAAAAGGAGAATGAAGAGGATGAAGAAGAGAAGAAAGAGAGACAATTGAGACTGGTACCTTATGCTCTGATTCTTCCCTCTGGAACACACAGGAGACACCCTTGGAACGCAGAGCCTTCTCTTCTAGAGGCTGAGCATGTCCAGCTGTCAACAGTTCCTGATGAGGAGCCACTGTGGTGTCCGCAAAGAGCAGGTGCTCCTGAGCTGTAGCACCTTTGACTGGTACAGTCAAATCTTGGCCAAGTGACATCACCCCGAGCCTTAGATTCCTAACCTATTAATATGTTCGCACCTTTAAGATACAGGGCCATGAGAGGCTTGGGGTAGAGGAAAGAAGGCTGCTAGCCAAGGCTCACTCTTTTCTCCTACCTCTGGCTGGGACAATTCTCAATTATTAGGGTGATGCTTGTAAGACCCTTGGCTTGGAGGGGCCCCAAGCAGCTTTGATGAGAACAACAGGACACATCATTGCTGATCAGGATGTTGTCTTTGTTGTTACTAATGCTTAAGATTTCAGGGCTGTTTCATCACAGAACTGGCTTATACAGAATTTGTTAACATTTAAAATCATGTAGTTGCAGATGTGATGATGGCATGAGGTGGGGAAAGTCAGAGTAACCAACACCAGTGATACTATAAACACATTCACTTATTAATTTACTTAACAAGTATTTATTAGCACCCACTGTATGCAGCTCATTGTTCTATCCCTCAATTTGAACTGATCAGCATACTGAAGTGGCATATTTTGGAGTGGCATTTCCTTCATTGTGTTAGAACTCCTTCATTGCGTTAGGAAATACAATTAAAATAAAAATCTCCAACTCAGGAAACTTTCCACAAGGGTAGAAAAGAAAGAAAATGGTTTACTTACTCATTAAGCATCAAGTCAATCTGCTAAGCATTTATGAAGACAGAAAGAAATCTCACCCCCTTATAGCCAAGCAGATATAATCCAGTATGTGTGATTTTAAGATAAACAATAGCCCTCAAGTAAGAGGATTAACAACCCCATTTGTCACACATGATTTAGCCTGACTTTATGAACTGAATTGTGTTGCTTCCCACCCCTGAATTTATATGTTGAAATCCGAAACCCTAGTATCTCAGAATGTGACTGTACTTGGAGACAAGGCCTTTTAAACAGGTGACTAAAGTCCTATGGTAGCCCTGAGAAAGAATGAAGTTGGATACACAGAGACATGGAGAATGTGCCTCAATAGAGAACAGACTCTGTGAAGACACAATGAGAAGGCAGCCAGCTGTCTGCAGGCCAAGGAGGGAGACCTTAGGAGAAATCAACCTCTAGACTTCAGGCCTCCAGAATGGTGAGAACACACTGCTGTTTGAGCCATCCAGTCTGTACTATTTTGTTACCCAGTACTGGCAGAATAATACTAACTTTACCTGGGAACCAAGATGGCCATTTGTGCTAGCTAATTAGCTTTATCTAAAGGAAGAACAGACTTCTTGTGCTTTTATAACAGGAAGTGGCTCTGTCATATCTACTGGAAGTTATCCTCTCCTACTCTCTCCTAAATAAAACTTATAAGGGCTATTGCTTGAGATAAGCCTCCCACACTGGTTCCCAGAAGACTTTGTCAGCCCATAATGGGGCTAATTTTTTTTTAGCAAAAGCAGCTTCTGAATCCCTGACCACCCCAGAAGAAAACACAAATGAAGCTTTTAGTGAGTAACAGGGTCAGGGCTTAGGAGTTTGTCATCTGCTTCTGTGGTGGTCTTTGTGTCACATGGAAGCAAAGACAGACCCCAGTCGGTCAAGTCTCATTAGAAAGGAAAATAGAGAAATGAGACAGTAACTAGGAAGGGAGCAGATTCTGAGAAGATCCTGGTTTTGGTGCCATTCACCTCTCTGCATATTTGTAGAATAAGTCACAGATGCAAATGGGAAATCATATCACTACCTTTAAATAACAAAGAGTAATTTACTTTCTGCCTCTCACTAGAGGGAGGGAAGCACAGGAAACAGATAAAGGGGACTTTGGGCTGCTTCAGGGCAGGTGTTGGAGTTTTAAACATAATGTGTGAGGTTCTAGGGATGAGGACAGGGCCAGTACAGAAAGAGCAATGGTGCAGGAGAGAAGAGGGTCTGCAGTGGCAAGCAGGGCACTGGGGTTGGTCAGAGGCCTTTGCTAGGAGTGACCCCTGCCATAAACACCTGGTGCAGTGCAGGAGAAGGTACAGTCATGGCAGAGGCAGGGTCTGGGGGAGCTGGTGACAGCATGGGGCTGTTGTCTATTCATCCACAGATGCACTGCCCAGTTACCTGAAGGTGGCTTCTGTGATGCCAGGAAGGTCTATGTAGCACACCTGACAGGGTAGGTCCAGCCCACAGGACTCTGCCCCAGTCACCAGCCCAGTCACATTGGTTGATTCTTGGCTCTTGCTGCATTCAATGCCTCGGACCATTGTTCCACTCAGACTTCCCTCACTGGATCCTAGGCTGGCTCCTCAAGGTCCTGAGGCCAGACTCAGAGACAAGAGGATATCTAACAGACAGGTGGCAATGGCACCAGACCTCTGGTGCTGACTGGCTTCCCGTCTTTTGCCCTATGAGCAGTACTCTGACAACATCAAGGGGCTTCTTGTTGACTGCTGTGCTGTCTTGTCAAGGAGCCCCTGCCATAAAAGCTATGTCTCACTTGAGAAGGGCTTTTTTCTGTGGGTTGGGAGTCACTTTATCATCAAGGCTCAGCCTAATTGGCTCCTTTTTGGTTGGACACACCGGGAATGGAGCTGACATCCCAAAGTGTAAATGGAAGAAAGATATCACAGCCTCCTGCCTTGAAACCCTGTAGGTTGGCATGAGCCATCTGGAGGTCTACATGGGCTTGTCAGAATGACCAAGAATTGAGAGGCAGTGGACTCAGGTTAGAGGGGGTTGGTGGGTACAGCATGCAAAAGAAGCATTACATACATTATTTGACTATTCACTCAGAATGCTTTATTGGTCTGGGTCTATAAAAGGGTGGGGACTTGGAGAGGTGAGGCCTAGGTCTATCTGGTAGTCAGGGTCATACACAAGTCAGAGGAGAGCAAGAACCTGGGGTTGGGGGTTCCAGGATCAGTCTCCAATGGGCAGGAAAGTCAGCAAGGGTGTCTTACCCCACAGCAGGAGCAAACGTGGATGGGTCAAGTGGAGCAGCCTCCTCAATGCCACGGTATCTGTAAAAGGACAAGGAGGGGGCAGTGAGCACCAGGGCCTTGCCCATGTCCTGTATAGCCCACTCCCCCCAACATCCCCTCCTGCTTCTCACCTTGGCTGGGGTTGGTGAGTACCTGACTTTGTGGGCCTCGTCATTCTGCAGAGACCTCACCAGGCAGGAATGACGGTGGGAGAAGGTCTCAAAGCTCTTCTTGCCATGGTAGGCCCCATGCCACTGTGCCCTGTGGAGGAGCCTGCTCAGGGCAAGGAGCCCACGCCAGTTGTACCTACACCCTTATGGGAGGTGTTTGGTTCCTACTGTGCCCACCAGGACATCTATGCTGGGGATAAAATAGTGCCCAGGAAGAGTCTAATCTCAGCTGCATCACTAAATGGCTACTTGTCCCTAGTGTGAGATGTTTGGGAAACAGGCCTGTATACCAGGTGACTTCTAGATCCTGTAAGACTTGGATGCAGAGGCTTGAGGCACAAATGGGAAGCTCAGAGGAAATCTGAGGGCCCTGGATGCTCCAGGCCCTCTTGAATCCCCTGATGGGTTTGTCAAGGTCCAGGGGCCCCAGGAGGGAGGGAGGTGGCAGTGAGCCCAGCCCCAGACTCACCCACACCCCCAAAGGGCAGGAAGGGCACGGTGATGTGGACAGTGACATCGTTGGCTGTCATCACACCGCTCGAAGTCTCTGCAATCATCTTCTTAATCACCTACATTGAGAACCAGCTGCTGGTATTGCACTCCTGCTCGGGAGGTGTACCAGCCACCCTCCCGCCCTGTGTGACTATGTCCTGGAACCATAAGAACCAAGCTGGTGGAGACAGAGCCCCAGCCACCAACTCCTGCATCCTCAGCCCCAGTCACTATCTCCAGCCACCACCAGCCCCCACAAATACCACATGGCCTTCAGCACCACGTGGCAAAATAATAACAATAGCTTGATTTTTCACTTCATTCAAAGCACTCAAGATCTGTCCTGATCTTTCCAAAGAGGCTATGAGAGGTTAAGTGACTTGCCAAAGGTCACACAACTGATGAACAGGAAAGCTGCAATTTGAACCCAGGTATGTGGCCCCCTGGATCCTGTCTGTATGCAGGTGTTGGACCTGGGAAGCCAGGATCCTAGGAGGAGCCCACCTTGTCATTGCTGGAGAACACATAGAGAGCCAGTGTTTCTCACTTTGGTTGATGAACCAAATGGCTTCCTCCAGGCTATGCACGCACACAATGGGCATTACTGGTCCAAAGATCTCCTCCTGCGTCACTGGAGACTGAGGGTCCACGTTCGTGAGGATTGTGGGAGCTGAGGCAGGAAATGGGCCAGAGTCACCCTGTGTATCTAGCTCTTGCCCTCTCCTCTCTGCAGAGGAAGCTTTCTAGGCTTAGAGAGGGGAATGAGGCCTGGAGAGGTCTTCCCATGGCCTCCACTCTTGTCTCAGGTTCCTGTAGAAGACCATGGGAGCAGTGGTTTGACCTGCATGGGAGAAGTAATCTCTGAATCTGTCAGCCACCTGGGTCCCTTCTGGAGCTTATCTGTCTCCCCAACAAATTGGGGGCCAAATGGGTGACCCTGGGCTAAGCACTAGGGGTGCCTCACATCTTGGCCACCTGGGGCTCTTGTAGCCTCTGCTGTTCTCATCTGATGCACAGAGATGGGAGAAGATGACATCCTTGTCTCTGGCCTTGTGGTAGGGGGTTTCTGGGGTGTCCTAGAAGCCCTGTTCAACCCCTACCTGCTGAGGGTCCCAGAGCCAACCCCAGGCCCATTGGTAAAGTGATTTATGTCCCAACAGGCTTCTGCCTGCTTCTCAAGTATCTGTGCTCAGTTGCTGCAAACTTATCAAGGACTTTGGTAGCCAGGGCAGGCAAAGCAGTGAGGGCAAGTCACACACCTATGTAGCGGGAGGCTTTTTCCCCCAGTGTGGCCATGAGCCACTTTCTGGCCCTTGATCAAGCCCATCACCCTCTGGAAGTGTCGGGCATTGATGATTCTTCCATAATCACTGGACTTCTTGGCATCTTCCCCATAAAACTCCTGACAAGAGATGGGATTCAGGGAATGATGTGGACTTTTGTCAAGGCTGAGGCTTCCTGGTCACATGATGGCAGGGATAGTCCTTTATCTCCATTATGCTTCGTTTTTGTTTTATTTTGTTTTGTACTGGGGATTGAACTCAGGACCTTGCACTTGGGAGGTGGGCGGTGGAACCACTGAGCTAAATCCCCAGCCCTCCATTTTGCCTTTCTCAAGTTACCCACAGTGAGTGTGCATCCTTTTTATGATTAGAAGACAAAAAAAAACAGGTATTTGCTTAAATCCTAATGTCTACTGTGGCACCATGCCTAGCCCATGCCTACAGCTTCTCCCTTGTAGCCCCTGGGGTCCTTACTCACATTCAGTGACTTTTTGAGCTTCTCCACGATTTGGTTCTGGATCATGGGGTCACACAGAATATAGTCAGGGGCCACACAAGTCTGGCCGCTGTTCATAAATTTGTCCCAGGTGATGCGTCTGTGAAAATTGCCAAGTGAGCTACATTCCTTGAGTCACAAGGAGCTCCCCTGAGAACACACATTTGTGCTCAGGGTCAAGACACAGTGGTCTTAGCACTGGAGGAGTGGCAGCTGCAGACTGTGAGCTGCCACCATTGAGTCCTAACTGTCCCCTTATGTCCAGACACTGCACTTATCAGACCCTCCTCTGCCCATAGGGGCCTTTGGGAGTCTGCATGTCTTAGCCTTATGTGCTACAGATGAGGAATTTCTGGAAGAAGTTTGGGATTCATGGGCTCTGTGCATTTCTGATCATAGCATTAGAGCCCCATATGGCTGGGTGAATTGCCTACTTGTACCTCCTATCTTGAAGGGCCACTCTTGTGGGGTATACAGGTGGTCAGAGCCCTGGTTAGGGTTGGGAGGCCCAGACAAAAGTCCTAAGACCCTAAGTGTCAGTGGTCCTTCTTGCTGATACCGCTTTCTAGACCTCAGGCGATCCCAGCCTTAGCAGAGGGCTAGACTTGGTGAAGTTCTCGGAGCAATGAATGCCGCACACCTTCTTCTCCTGCATGCTCTGCTTGGAGCACCATCTCCAGTGATGCCTAGGCAGCAGAGTTCCACCTGGAGTTCTCCCTCTTCCGGAAGATTTCCTGGACTCCTTGTACCTTTCCTATGAATGAGGTCCCCCCAGTTCCCACCACCCCTGGAGCTTCTGCTAATGACTGCAGGATCGGTGAGGACAGGGACTGAGTGTGCTACTCAGAGCAGCACTGCAGCACTTGGCAGACCCAGTCTCCTCACCGACAGGCCATGTCCAGATCGCAGTCCTCGTCCACGGAACAGGGGCTCTTTCCTCCTAGCTCCAGTGTAACAGGGGTCAGGTGCTTGGCAGCGGCCGTCATAACAATCTTTCCCACAGCTGTGCTGCCCGTGAACAAGATGTGGTCAAATCGCTCTTTGAGCACCTCTGTGGTCTCAGGGACACCCCCGTTGATCACTGGGTGCAGATCCTTCCAAACAAGAAGAGAGGGAGCCTCAGCCAAGATCAAACACCTTCTTACTTCTGCATATTAAAGTGGGCAGTGGGCGACATGGCATCTTGACACCCCACCCACCCTGGCTGGCCCCTGGCATCCAGACCTCTCTCCTGCTTCAGGGCTCTGTCATACTGATGGGAGAGGGCAGCAGCTAGGGGCTGCACTCCTGAGGCTTGGCCCTTGGGTGCAAGAAGTCACTAGTTCTCAAGCTCCAAAGATCAGGCCCCCAGAATAATCATCGATGAGCCCTGGAGTGCACCTCACCTTGTCCAGATACTGAGGGATGACGGTGGCCAGCAGGTTCGCCATGTTCTCACTCAGCTCTGAGGGCTTGAGGACCACTGCATTCCCTGAAGAGTATGCAGGCTCAGGGCCACATTAACCTACCCAGCTCTGTTATATCAATGACTAAGCCTAGGGCTCATCCCCCATCATTTGTGTCCTTGGACGAGTGGGAGGAAATGTTGTTGGCCCATGGGCATACACCACAGGAACAACGCAGTGAACACACTGGTATACGTGCTCTCTAAGGCTGCACCATCTCTCCCTGTGTAGTTGCTGGAAGGTTGGGAAAGGAGTAGCAAGAGATTCCCTGACCTGATTGGGAGAGCACTGCCATATTAGCTGAAAGCAGTCCCCACCAAGGGCAGGGAGAGGACTGCCAGGTGAATACCTTTGCCTGCCTGGCTTTGGGCACCAGGGGGCCTGGCTAAATGCTTTGGTCCTTACAGCCTCTTATGCCAGACCCGTCAAACCAGTCTCCAGCCCCACACCCCTCTTCCCACAGGCCTGAACCCCTTCTGGAGTAGAACCTGCAGTACCTGCAGCGATGGCGCCCACCATGGGCTGAATGGTAATGTTGAAGGGGTAGTTCCAGGTGCCAATGATGAGGACCACACCCAGGGGCTCTGAGTGGGTGTAGGACTCATCCCGCTGTGTCTGGGGAGTCTTCTCCACAGGCTCATCTGCAGCCCACTCAGGGAGATTCTTGATCGTGTGCTCGATCTCTTCCAGGACATACACTATCTCCTCATAGTAGCTGGTCCATTCATTCTGCAGACGAGGCTGCATGTGAGCTGGGGCACCCCACCAAGGCTGCAGCTAGGAGGTGAGCAGGGATCCTCCAGTGCTTGGTGGCCAGGGTAGTTGGGCTGTTCACCATAGTCCCCAGGCCAGCCAGGGAAGAGACACCCATGGAAATAGAGCTCAGGATTAGCACTGGGGTGAAGTGGCTGCTGGGGGGCTCAGGGCCTCCTGGAGCAGCCAGGGGTGAGGGGAGAAGAGGTATAGACAGCAAATGTGCGCATTTTCTATGAACTTTGGCTGTGAAGTTAAAGCTCAAAATTTTCTTCTTGTTTTTAAGATGGGAAGTCTTGAGCGATTTTAAAAAAGGGGGGGAGGAGGGGGTGAAGGGAGGGCAGGGACAAGGGGAAAAAATGAGGACCAAGACCTGCCATGTAAAGGTACAAGATCCCAATAATGAATGTAACTGTACTGTATACCTAAAATGTACCAATAAACTCAATGAGGAAAACACACACACACACACACACACAGAAGCACAGGAGCAGTTGGTGGGTGAGCCTTGACATTGCAAGGGGTGGGCTCCCAAGCTCTGGACCCTGCAGGGACACCTCTTCTCTTCTCCCAGGCAAGGGGAAGGTGGAAGCAGGTTCAGGTTAGTTGCTGGCAGCAAGGTGGCAAGTTTGTGAATTTGCAGGCATGTGATTTTGTTCAGGGTAAGGGATAGAGTAGCTCCAGGGGGACAGGGAGGGAAGGAGGAGGCCATGGGGAGCAGCTACCCTCTTGGGGCAGCTATGCTATGTGGGCAACCAGGGTTCCCAGGTGGAGCTGAGGAAGAAGGATGATAGGACTAGAAGTTTGGGTGTCATGTGGGCGGGAGATGGCCAACATGGGTGTCCTACTGCTGCAGATGCATGAAGAAGCCAGGCCTGGAGGGGAAAGGAATGCCCTGTCTAACAGTGGGATCTGCTGGGGTAGGGTGGGGAGCAGTGGCAGAAGAGAGGCCCATGTGCCCCATCTTGGTGCTTGATGGACTGGGTGATCCCCCAAGTTGTTCCTATATTTTCGAAAACGTTCTCTTCTGTTTCATGGTCATGAAGCAGAGTGTTTGGGGGGCACAATGCAGGCCTCCGTAAAGTGCTCACACAAAGCCCCAGCGGGCAACAGATGCCGTACAACCAGCCCCCACCGCCGCCATGACTATCCCATTCAGGTCGCATCTCCGCCCCGCTCTCCCAAGCAGCGGCCAGCCCCATAGGGGCTCAAGCACCTTGTTCAGGTCTGCTGCTAGAGCACCGGTGAGGTCCGGCCCTCTCTCCTTGATCATGCGCTGCAGCGCCTCCAGCTGCCGTATCCGGAACTGCAGCGGGCGCGTCTGGCCGGAGTTGAAGACAGCCCTGACCTGCTTCACCACTTGGCTGATCTTGTTCATGGTACCTGAGGAGAAAGAGAGCACCTCGCAACTGGTTGGGTTGCATCTCTGGAACCTGTGCTCTGCCTCTGCCATGTCACTCCTTTTTTTTTTTTTTTTTTTCTTTTTTTTTTTTTTTTTTTTTTTTTTTTTTGCTTCAGATGTGTGGTCCCTCTGGTGTCTTGATATGACTCGGAGCAGATGACACTCCGCACTGTGTGTGAGGAACAGGGACAGGGCTCCTAAGCACAACCACTCACAATGGGCTCTTGGCCGTGTGCCAGGGGCAGGGCCCTGACCTCTTTCCAGTCCCATTCTAGCATCTACCTGTTTGCAAATCTGATGACACATTCCCAGGCAAATGTTCCAAGAGCTCAGCCACCCACTTTCCAAATTCCATGTAGGAACACATCATTCCATGCCCAAGCTAATTAAAGAAAAGCCAGCACTCAAATACCTACAAAGCCTTACAATCCAAGCCACTGTACTCGTGACTTGGCAGAGCTGGAAGAGGCTTTGTTTTTAAACCATTGTGTGCTTCACCTAGTGCCAGCGAAGGCCTCAGTAGGCTTTGGGTTTCGGTGCAAAATGTGGAGGCGATTCCTGTACTGGCACAAGAAACCATACAGGCAAATCTTGATGGCTTTTCTGGGGACAATTGGGCAGAATCTAGCAAAAGCCTTTCCAATCCTTTGTCCATGATACAGGAGGTCCAGATCCAGGAGTGGCTTGTAATTACAGTGTTCCTGAATAAGAAAGTCACCACAGTTGACATAGAACAGAGAAACACCAGAAGTGCCTACAGGTCCATCAGTAGGAGGAAGTTTAAATGAACTGTGCCATGCCAGTGTGATGTGCAGTATTTAGGCACAAGATGGTTATTCAGCATGTCCACCAGCTCTGCCTGCTGCAGATATAACTATCCCATGCTGTAGGGATAAGAATGGAACAACTGGGTACTAGGTGTATGTGTGTTTGTTTGTATGTGTGTGTATATATATCCAGAGATATTCATATATGCTGCATATATTATAACTTTTAACAGCAGAAAAAAATAAAAGCTAATTCCATTTTCAAAAAGAAAAATTACCCCTAGATATATAGTACGTGATTCTGCTTGAATTTTGATTGCTGATTCCCTCCACTGCCTTCCTTACCCACAAAGTGCTGACGCCCAGCCCCAGTGCCAGACTTTCTGCACAGGAAAGGAGAAGCTGCTGGCAGCCAGGGTGCTCCAAGCCTGGATATGGCATGGTTCCCTCCCTCCAATCTGACAGGAGGCCGGGAGGACCCCCTCACTGGGCCCCCTTGGCTTTGCCAGAATAGAGGCAAGGCACTTCCTGCTGATCACAACCTCAGGCATGTAGCCCTGCAGGACTGCTCTCTGCTTCCTTCCTGAGCCTACATGATCAAACTAGGGCCACAGTGTCTACCACTGGCCATCAAAGCAGGTGATCCAGAGGGAAAGAGCCTGTGTGAGTGGGACTGGACTCTGCTCGGCTCACACCCTAGCCTCATCACTCAGAACTGTGGTCTCAGGGAAGGGCAGTTCCCAGGTCTCATCTGCTTCACAGAGTTACTAAAGATTAGCGGAGACACAAAGCACCTGCAGACATGCCTGGCACCTGGATGGGAGCAGCTATGGGATAAGCGGGAATTTCTCTTGGAGCCAGCCCGCTTTAGGGGTTAGACCTCGCTTTTAGCATCTCTCTGTCCCACCTCACCTGTGGCCACTTTGACTTTGCCCTCAGGCATGACCCATTTTGGGCACCCCCTCAGCCTCCCTTCTGGATCTCACAGAAATTCTGTAGTAGTTCCCAGTTGTGAATCTACTTCACAGATGAGGAAAGCGAGGCTGAAAACCACTTAATACCCTGTCTTTGGTTTTGCAGTTGCTGAGTGCCAAAGTCAGGGTGTGAGCCAACTTCTGTCTTTGTCTTAGTGCATCCCCTTAGCTACTCATCCCTGATGGCTTTTGGGAGAGCAGGGAGCCTTGATGGCACACCAAGGCCTCTCTCACCCAAAGTCTCTTTGGTTACCCGGCTCCACAGCTTGCTGGGATCTCAGCTTCCTGGGGGGCAGGAGGGGGTTAACAAAGCCATCAGAAATATAGCTTCAGACCCTTAGTGCACCCAACTAGGAGAATGCTCAGGAGATGATGCCCCTGGGACCAGCTCCCTTCAGAGGTGGGTGGAGGGTTTTGACTCTTAGGGATCTTGCTCTAAGTGCAGGCTCTGCCTAGGTATCCCACCTAGGGAAAAAATAAAGGAACCAGGGGGAAGAGATTACCTTCAGCACAGCCTCTTTCAGTAGCTGGGGCTTCTGAAGTAAGCCAGAGCCAAGAGGGGTCATATTTAAGGATGCTTCCTCCCACCCACTTGGCCCTCTTGGAGCCCCTGCCCAGGGAGTTTATGTGACAAGGAAAAAACAATATGCAAATATGGGGTGTAGTATAATGTGTACCTCTGCTCCCTGCAGTTGGAGTTTGGAGGATTAGGTCTTGGATTGTTTGTTTTTGTTTTATTCTGAAATGCAAAATGTGTCTGTGAAAGCTTGGGCTGGGCTCCCATCCAATCCCCAAAGGGAGTTCTGTGCTTTCCCCCTTACTAATTCAGCCTGGTGTGGACTTCTTCCAAATTTCCCAAGATGCTGTTTACCAGATGCTGTTCTCCCAGTTCCCTCTTATGTAAGGTCCACAGTGGATGAGCCAGGACTCATGGTTGCGTGCCCACAGTGCTCCCAAAATGCACCCCCAGGGCTCAGTAGTAGAGCACTTGCCTAGCTTGTGGGAGGACCTGGGCTTGATCCCTCCCACTACCAAAAAAAAAAAAAAAAAAAAAAAAAAAAAAAAGCTTCTTTGTAGCATAGTTTGGGTTGTAATAGAAAGTCTTGCAGATGCCCATTCCTTAGATTACTGGCCCTGAAAATCCATTCCTAACGCCTCATACTGGCCTGGGCTTTCTCTTCTTCCTGAACCACTGTTATTGCCACCTGCTTGCTCTGTCATACCTTTTCCAAGTGGCTAACAGGAACATTTAAGCAGTGAAGGCCTGAGAATGTTTTCCCACAGATTCACATCCCTCACTGGCTTCCAGCCCTAGTTTAGGATATTTTCAATTTATAATGAAGTTACTGAGATACATCATAAGCGAGGTTTGAGGTAAGTTAGAAGAGCCCCTTGATGTTAGGATAAATAAAGAGAAAGCCTCTGAAGAGATCTCCAGCCTCCCTCCAGAACCTTAAAGTTGCCAGTAGGAAAATGCACACATAGTGCCTTTACAAGCAGATACAGGCTGTCTGTGAGCGCGTGCTGGAAACACTTGGGAATTTCCCAAATTCCAGCCAACATAAAATGCTGGCAAGGACAGCTTTGGCAGGAGACCCTATAAGTGGAAACTTGCTTATCACTTATTTGGAGAAAGCACATGAGTAGAAAGAGAAGCCAGCACTGACAGGACCCCTCACAGAGCTGTGACTGAGCAGGCTGCCACCTTCCCCTTCCCTATATCAGGGGCTGATGTCTCTGGAGATTGATGGAGTGTGGCAGCTCCCATCTCACACCTGTCAAACTTTCTTCCAACACTCTGCCTTCCCCAGGCACTAGAAGACAGAGAGAAGGGATTTTGGTACCCTGGACTCCTCAGCTAGTCTTGTTATAGTAAAAGACACAGAAGTGTTGGTGAAAGCCTGGAGAATTTGCAACTCTTGCCTTTCTATGAGGAGTGTAAAATGATGCAGCATCTTTGGAAAACAGTGTGGCAGTTCCTCAAAGGGTTTTATATATGACTGGATGACCTACCGGTTTTATTACTAAGCTTGGATACAGGAGAGATGAGAACATGTGTCCACAAAAAACCGATAAATTAATGTTCACAGCGGTACTTTTCATCATTCCCTCAGAATGGAAATGCTTCAAATGTCCATCAGCTAATAAATAGACAAATAAAATGTGGCATATCCTACAATAGATGATTATCCAGCCATAAAAAGGAAGGAAAGGCAACACATGAATGAACCTCAAAAACATAAATACTAAGTGAAAGAAGCCGGCCACAGCGATTCACATATTGCATGGTTCCACTTACATAAAATGTCCAGAAAAGGCTAATTCATAGAGACAGGAAGTAGATTAGTGGTTTCCAGACCCTGGAAAAACATTGGAGGCAGGAACGGGCAGTGCAGGCAAGAATGGGTGTGGAGTTCTTCTAGGTCAGTGATAGAGAAACTTTTAGAACTTTCAGTGATAACAGAGGGCTGGCTGTCGCACGCATGCGATAGGTTTGCCACACTGTTGTAGGGAGACAAAAATGTTTACATAATAGACTCTAGTGGGTGCTGCTCAAAAAATAACTTAAAAATTTTTAACTGTACACTTTAAACAGATGAATGGTATGGCTTATCAATTATAAGTTCATAAGACTTTAATTTTTTTCGCTTAAATTTTTATTATTTTTATTTATTTATAATATACAATGGAACCCAGGGCCTTGCACGTGCTAGGCAAGTGCCGAAGCACTGAACCACGCCTCCATCCTAATTACTTTAGTATAATGTACTAATTATAATTTATGTAAATATTTTGTCTTTACAGATCATTCCCCATTCCTTAAGTGTGAGCTGTGCATATGATAGTGACACCCTTCCAGAAAGGACAGAACCAATGGGCACGGGGAGAGAGAAATTTGACAACCTCATCCAGGGACCATGGTCAATACCAACATTGAGGAGTCATCTTGCTTGTATGTATCCTTAGTGTGATAGGGTGGGAAGGGCACTTTGTCTCTGAGGTCTTCCTCTCCAAGCCCATAACCACAGTCCCATTGTGAGGGAAACGTCAGACGTCCAACTAAGACACATTCCACACAACACCTACTAGCACTCCTCAAAATTGTGAAGGTCATCAAAAACAAGGAAGGTCCTAGCCAAGAGAAGCGTACAGAAACATGACAGCTAAATGGAACTTGAGATCCTGGGTGGGATCCTGGGACATACAGGAACTCTGCTCTCACTGCAACTTTTCTATAGA